CCCTGTGATGCCCGTGTGTGTGTGTGCCCTGTGATGCCCGTGTGTGTGTGCCCTGTGATGCCCGTGTGTGTGTGTGCCCTGTGATGCCCGTGTGTGTGTACCCTGTGATGCCCATGTGTGTACCCTGTGATGCCCGTGTGTGTTTGCCCTGTGATGCCCGTGTGTGTACCCTGTGATGCCCATGTGTGTGTGCCCTGTGATGCCCGTGTGTGTGTGTGCCCTGTGATGCCCGTGTGTGTGTGTGCCCTGTGATGCCCGTGTGTGTGCCCTGTGATGGACAGGCATCTCATCCAGGGTGCCCTGGGTCTTATGCCCTCAGACTCCCCATGATGATGTTTGGGATAAGTGGATGGATCTAACTAATTTATTCTTGATAATTTTTCCTTTCCAAAAAGCCTCATACACTTCTGGTGACTTAAGCCAATGCTGTCCCCCTAGCAGAAATCTTTTTCTCTTTAATTTGCTGTCCAGCACAAAGTTCTCTGAGTCATGGGTGGTCTGTAACAGGAATGACATTTTCAAATGTGAGTTGAATGTCTGACAGTCTGGAATGGCAAAGTCATTTTCTGACCTTATTTTGTCCCCCACCACATCATTATGTTTGTGTCTTCGTTATTGACATGTAAAACGTAAGGTGAGGAAAATGTATTAGCAGATATATATAGACCTAGAGGGTTGAGGAGTATCCCAGTGTTTCAGGGAAGGAAGCTGACAGACTGTCCTAAATGGTCCAATGACGGACGCTGAAAAAGTGAAGGTGAGTCTCACGGGGGCCTTGGTATATTTTCGAGGCTCTCAGGTTTAAAGGCTGGTCGAAAAGGAGGGGGGATAGCTCTCCCAGGATCAGACGTTGCTCTTTCTGTCTGGTTTCGTTTTAAGCTGTGGATCTTCTGTGGGTCATTTAAGTCGGTGAAAGTCCGATCAGCCCTTGGAGTCCCTGTTGGCTCGGTACCATCTCCGGTGACGGCACTGATCCCCAGACCCACTTTGTCTACAACGAGACACAGTAATGCTGCACTCCGAGTGAAAACGGGCACCGAAAAGCACAAGAAATCGGTGAAATGAAATAAATTTCGAGTTACCGAATTAGCTAGCGCACCTCGTATTTTTCTAATTATATTTGCGTAATCCTTGGCAAACTGAGAGAACTAACATTATTCAGCTTCGATTTTATCCTGAAACCTAGATGGCATGGAAAAAAATGGCATTCAGATAATTGGACGGTTAATTTATCTTGATTGTCAGTTAAGTGAGGAGTTCTATTTCCAACCTTTTTTTTTGTTCTGGAAAAAAAAGGCTCTCTGAAAATACGCCAGGGCATTATTAACAACTGCGAGGAGGCAGGCTCCTTCTTTTTCTGAAGGAATGGATGAAAAACGAAATAGGATGGGGGGGCTACTGAAGGTGACTGACTGCTCCGGCAAGCCGACCTGCCACGGCTAATAGGCCCGAGATGGGCCCAGCAATCTGGGAGTGGTGCAATATGGGGAGCTCTCGCATTTAGCGCTCCACCACTGGGGCGTCGCGGAGAAGAGCAGCCCTGACGGTGAAACCAGTACCGCGGTGAGCAAGGGGGATGTGCGACGGAGCGCTAATGCTAATTAGCCTAATGAAATGCTAATGGCGATGACCGGGGCTGCGTTTTCCGCAAAGATACGGCGCTGAGATTCGATTCCACGGATGGAAATGTAAATATTTGGAGCGGCCCGGATTTTTAAAAAGAGATTATATGTAAATTTTGATGATCGCGTCGCGTAATTATTGCTGCAATCTGACACCAGGGGTGACGAGTCCTAATTCTGGAGGGTCACGGAATGTGCAGGTGTTTCTGCCAAATTCCAGCAATTAATGGCATCGGTGCAGAGAGGGAAGGGCAGACACCTTCAGTTAGGGGAATAATTGGCTCAATAACGGGTTTCACCGCTTAGCCGGGACATAAAGCCGCTTCCGGAAAACCTGGGATTTGACACCCCTGATTTGTGCAGTTAGCTCTGTCATTAGCTCTTGCTAAACTCATCAGCTGCCTGCGTTAATGAGAATGGGGTGGAGGGCATTGATTGGTATTTTCCAAAGGTATCCACAGCACTCCTCCAAGGTGAGTTTCTGGCGTTTCCCCTGGAGCTCTGGGCTCTTTTCTTCTCGTCCTTTACTTCTTGTTGTCCAAGTTGGTCGCCATTCATCTTCGTGTTCTGTGGCCTCTGGGTGATCTAGCGGTTCCCCTGGAGCTCTGGGCTCTCTCTCCTTAGAATATGTTCCCGCTGTGCTCTCCTGGTGGCCGCTGCTCTCCTTCTAGCCCCCAGGTCAGTGTTTTGGAACAAATATCTGGATCACTGATCCTAACGACCCAGTCTGACTTTCATAAACTACCGCTAGGGCCAAGGCTGGTATCAAACAACTGCATTCCTCCCTGGTGTTTGCACTCCCCTTTTCCTTTCTTTTATTTCTTTCCCTCTCTTTTCCTTGCCGTGAGGTCCATTTACCCCCCACAACCTTCTTCTCTGTTTATTTTTATTTCCTCGGACACATTTACACTCAGTCCCTGCTGGCATCCCTGGTGACACTGGTCACGGCCCTCTGTAAACAGCCTCTTGCGAATTTCAGTTTTGTTTTTCTTTTTACTCATTTTCCTCATTAGAATATAGGGATGTTGGTTATTTTATAGTTTGTTTTTTTTAGAAGTACCCACTTCCCATGGCATAATAATGATAAAGCATTAAAAATGGCACAATGAAAAATAATGCATTAAAAAGAAAAAAACAAAACTTTTTGACTGGCTTTAAGGGTCTGACCATGTGACTTTTATATTCCAAAACGTACAGTGTCTGTGTTTTTTACTTGATATCACTGTAGGCCCCTGGTATTCAGACTCTTTTTGACAGGCCCCCCTAGGGCTGATATTGTCTTGCACCCCCCCCCCCATCCCATACACCCACGAACTTTACCTTGCAGCTCAATTAGAAGAATGTGCCTGTTTTCCTGCACACAGTTTAATAGCCTTCAGGGAAAATATGGACACTGCAAGTCTATTTTTAATATTTCTAAAGGTTGCAGTTTCGAAATAACTCTGCCCCCCACCTCAAAGTCCCCCACATAGTTTTTCCTTCACCTGCCCCTGTCGAGTGTCATTTTCTTTACGATTCCCGCCCTCATACAGCCCCCTCCCGACCTTATAAAAGAAGAGAGATGGCAGGGTGGACAGTTATCGCAGTAAACGTCAGTTTGGCTCCTTTGCCTGGGGCTGCACCTACTTCCCTGCAGGGGGGCGACACTGAGAGCTGAGCGTGTCTGCGCTCCGGCTGCAGGGCACTGCGCAGTTCCGCATAATGAAGCGGCCACACGTTTCTTTAAAGGAGACATCCACGATGTCTACCCGAAGAGTGCGTGCCGCCTTCGTAATCACGTCAGCAGGCTGGCGTTTATCGGCCAGCGGACGAGCTCAGTGGCCGGCCGCGGCCCGGCATCTAAACAGCTGTCCTCCCGTCTCTTTGATCCTATTCTTTGTGTGACTTTGTTCGACTTTGTTTGACTGTTTTTAATGGTGAGTTTTTTAGTAGCGCATTGGGAGAGTTGGCCTTCGCCGAAAGCGGGCGGGATCTAAAAACACGACGGAGGAGGTCGGATTTATCGCGGCAAGCCGCTGCAGCCCATCGCCGGTGAGCCGGTTAATGGCCCACTGTGATGCATGCCCCCCCCCATCAATAATGCAGGGGATCGGAAGCTAGGTCACGCATTTTTAACAGGCCTCTAATAAAACAGCGAGGAGAGACGCACGGGCCTGGGGGGGGGGGGCAGCCCCAATTCCCCGTATGTGTTAGCAGAGGAACGATACGCTTAGCGGGATGCTTCCTCAGGGGTCATGTGACTGCTGACTCATGGGCATGCAGGAGGCTGCAAAAAGGTCAAAGGGCATGACTCAGGCTGACATCCTGACCCCGAGCAGGGCTCATAGGGGTCATGAACCCTGTGATCCTTTAAGCCATGTGACCCCTTTGTTGTTCTGTCAGTGGTTTCATCACGGCAGGTGCTAAAGTGTTTCAATTTTGGATAATCCAGGCCGAAGAAAACAAACATGATTTTTTTTGGTGCACCCTGGCAGTTCCACGAGGTGAGTCTCGGGCCACGGATCTTCGGCGTGATGAGCGGGAACACGCCATTCGTCCCAGACAGCTGTCGGCATGCGGTCTGAGGGCCTGAGATTCGAGCCGCTGCCTCTATTAAGTCGTCGGCGGGAGACACCCCCGCGGATAAAACTAACAGCACTTATCCACTTCACATTGTCTGATTGTGCTCCGTCTTGAGTTCTCGAGCGTTCTCTGTGCCAAGAACAAAAACACAAGACTAACATCGAGGCTAAGCTCCAGTATGGTGAACCCAAAACCTTTCAATTTCGTGACAGTTTCGAGGGGCTGATATCCTGAGAGCGGAATCACTCAGTCAGGGCCGGTGAGACCTCCTCCATCGCGAAACTGCCCCATGCTCTACGATACACTTTTTTGCTCCATCCCTGCTCCCAGTAGGGAGCAAAAATGTGGACTGTCTGGCATGGAGCTGGGAGGGAGCAAAAACATGTCTGGGGGTCCCCAAGGACCAGCTTGGGACACGCTGCTCTCTGCTATGGGTACAGATCAGGGTCATTTATGCATGTTAAATAACAACGTTAAACACCACAGGTCCAGTCCCAGGTAAGCTGCAGAATCCTGTGGTATTTATATCTGAGTGTAACATATCTCCTGTAATGTTTACTTTCTGCTGCACTTCACTTAATTCTGGCAATAGATTGCATCCAGACGTACTTCGGTGAAGCGGAGGGCAATTTGTCTGCGATTGACCGGGGTCCTGCCCGGTTTGTCCCTCCCTTACTCTCCGTGCCTCTCATTATAAGTATCAGATCTGTTGGGATTTGCGTTTTTCCTGAACAGGCCTGCATGGACATACATGTACCACGCATGCACGCCTGTGTGTGTGTGTTAGCCTTAACTCAGCCCCCTGTCCCCCCGCAGACATCCGCGGCCTGCAGAGCTTCCTGGACCAGACGTCTCGGCTCGGCCTGGACGTGTCCCTGCAGCGGGTCGACAGGAACATCAGCCGCGTCTTTGCGGGCCTCTTCAGCACCATGCGCACGGAGGAGCTGAATCGCTACCGGGACACGCTGCGCCGCGCCATCCTGCTGCTGAGCCCCAAAGGAGCCCAGGCCTTCATCCACCAGGTCAGCCTGCTCCCCCCACCGCCCCCCTCGCCCTGAACTGCACCACACCATCCCCAGACACCAAAACACCGCTACACTGGGCAATCAGTATTATAACTGAGGTGGATGGATGCATGGATGGATGGATTGATGATGGATTGATGAATGGATGGATTGATTGATTGATTAATGCATGGATGGATTGATGATGGATGGATTGATGATGAATGGATGGATTGATTGATTGATGCATGGATGGATTGATGATGGATGGATTGATGTATGGATGGATGGATTGATTGATTGATTGATTGATTGATTGATGCATGGATGGATTGATGATGGATGGATTGATGTATGGATGGATGGATTGATTGATTGATTGATTGATTGATTGATGCATGGATGGATTGATGATGGATGGATTGATGTATGGATGGATTGATGATGGATGGATGGATAGTGGATGGATTGATGATGGATGGATGGATAGTGGATGGATTGATTGATTGATTGATGGATGCATGGATGGATTGAGGATGGATTGATGCATGGATGGATGGATGGATGGAGGGCTGCGGGGCTATACACAGAGGGTCGCGGGGCCGTCCTCAGCGGGTCGCGGGGCCGTCCTCAGCGGGTCGCGGGGCCGTCCTCAGAGGGTCTGTCCTCAGCGGGTCGCGGGTCTGTCCTCAGAGGGTGTCCAGGCGCTCCCTCATACATGCTGACACAATGGCATTGGTGATATTTTGGGAATGTGAATTTATAGCAGCTTGTGACTATCCCACCTGCACTTTTCGGCTCGTGTTTTCGGGAGAGGTGCTTTCCTGAGGGGTGACTCCGGATGAGGTCAGTCTGTCAACAGAAGTTCACTGTCCTTCTCCTCCAGTAAAATGCTGACTCAGGTGGAAGGGGGAGGTTCTGAACACCTGGAGTTTTCACATCTCCTCCAAGATCCTCTGGTTTTCTCCCATAATACATGAAGCTGGGTGAATTGGCATCTCTAAATTGCCAATCGTGTCTGAGTGTGTGCCCTGTGATGGCCTGGCATCCCTTCTGCAGTGTCCCCCACCTCGTGCCCTGTGCCACCTGGCATACACTCCACTGACCACACCCACGTCCTGGATGACAAGATCCATACCTTCTACATTCTGCTGACAGTCGCCGAGTTGTTGCTGTTTACCTGCTATGAATTAGCTATCTCATGTTTTATAACTAATCACGGATTATTTTTCTGTTGTGCCTGGATTATAATATAATAGCAGAAATAATTACATGCACAGAAACATAGAAACACATGTAAACACTGCGAGCGAAACATCGTGGTGTCGGTGATTAGGCATCACCCACCGTGCCACTGCCATCATCGGCAAGGTAATGGGCCAAATGGGCAACGGGCATGAGGCCGTAGGAAGCGGGAGGAGCACTCAGTATAATTGCAGAGTCTTACGGCAGCTCAATATGAGGGGAATGGAAGAGACGCGCAATAGAGGAGATGCGCAGCAGAGGAGGTGCACACAGAGGAGGTGCACACAGAGGAGGTGTTTAATGCCACATCTCTACAACTCAGAGCCCCAATTCCCCGGGGCCAATGCACTCCGCCCATCGGTCTCCCTGCACATACTTAAGCTGATGCGGGGTCTCCTTTGAAGGCCGTTTCAGAGTGGAGGGGAGGGAGCGATTTCACCATAACGGCCTTCAATGACTGTTTTTAGGACAGAGCCGCTTTTACGGTTTAGGGAGGCGGGCTTTTGTGTTGACTCGTGTGGCTCAGGCGGCCCCTCCCCCGAGACCTGCGGGGTCTCCAGCCGGCCGCATGCAGGGGCACCATGATGCTCCAAGCATGGCTTTCATGTTCACTCCGACGTTGAAGCTTTAAAACGCTTCACACAGCTTCTCATCTGAAGCCTCCTCCGTCATCTCTGACTGCTTTACAACAAGAACTTGTGATTTAGCGCGATGAAGAGGCCGCAGTATCGATCGGCGGCCTCTCTGCCGCGGTCCTTCTTCCTGTCGCATCCCCGTTGAGGGTCAGCTCCTTCGCTCGTTACGTCTTTCTTTGCAGTTTAATTACCTGCAGTGTTCCCTCTTTGTTCTCAGTCAAACGGTCATCTTTAGTCTCCATTTTTCTGAGACTGAGGTGTCGATAAGGGTGTCCACACAGCTTGGGGCGATTACATCTGTAATCCGTCTGTCCGTCCGCCCCTCCGTCTGTCTGTCTGTCTGTCTATCTATCTATCTATCTATCTATCTATCTATTTGTTATGCTGTACCTGCTATGTAGGGTCATGGGGACAGACAGACAGAATGGCAGGCAGGCAAGAAGGAAGGAAGGAAGAAAGAAAGAAAGAAAAAGAAAGAAAAAGAAAGAAAGAAAGAAAAGGATTTTGTAGTTTGCTGCACCTGGCTCTAGAACCTAAAATAAATCCGGTTTCACCTAACTTTCAGAGGAACTTTTGATGCTAGAAACAAGTCCCGACCCTTAGACCGGATCCCCAGGAATGGATCTGTCGCTGCTGGTGAGGAGCGCCCCCCCCAGCACCCACCCCACACGGCTGGTATGCCATCCCCGGAAGGTCACCCCGGCGTTAAGGAGCTTCCGGAGAGCCCGCCTGTGTGGGCCCCCTTCATCAGTCCCCGTCAGGCCGCCCCTTGCCGCCGGGGGCCTTGCCCCCCCCCTTTCCGGGCAGCACCCGTCCTCCCACCGCCCGCTGCTCTTTCCCAGCCACCGTGTGGGGTGGGGAGGGGAGCTGACAGATTGAGTGGCACCGGTGATCAGGCCGGCGCGGCAATGATGGATGGCAGGAGTGGGCAGGCCCTTCATCCTGGGGGGGGGGGGCACGGCTCCAGGTGGGGGGGCCTGGGCACACAGGAGAGGAGTGACAGTTTCTCATTAGGCCGGCAGCTAGTGAGAAAACGGGGGGGGGGGGGGGGGGGGGGTGTTTAGAGTAATATTAGATCAGCACAGGGAGGGGTGCTCTCAGAGCCTCCCAATACTACACTGGCTCTTTTGATTTTTTTTATTTTCGTGCCTCATAAATAATATTTTCCAGACGACCGTCCTGTACATGTGCGATGTTTTTCCGTAACTGAAGCTGAGTGTCTTCCTCAGCGTCACGTGACCGTCGACGCGATGCCGCTTCAAAGCCATCCGAGGGGGGGGAGATCGAGCTTCCAGAGACTGTAATACATACAGTGACCAAACCCACCAGGTGTTGCCTGAGGGGAAACGAATCCTGCAGGTTAGCGGACTGAAGGGTTAACATGCCGGCAAACGTCTCACTTTAAAATCCCGCGGCCCAGATGTGGGCTGACAGCCAATGAGCCTCTGTGGACAGTCTGGCGCATCTGCCGAAAACTCAATGAAGTAGAATCCGGTGGAAAGGCCAGGGAGCCGCCACTCACACAGAGACGCGCCCTGTTTATGTTCCTGCTGCTGAAACGCTTCTGAGCGCAGCGTCACATGAAATGTCTCCATGCTGAGAGAGCCGCTGCTGATCGAATGCATCTGAAAACGTTGCGCAGACAGACACGCAGACATGCACGCAGACATGCACGCATCCACTGACTCGATGCAAATGTCCTTGAGAAGAAAGAGTGCCCTCCAGTCCTTCTGGCCCACAGGAGTGTCATTGGCAATATGCTTCTCTGTATGGTAATCAGCAATGGGGCACTGAATTAACACCATCCTGCAGAGCCCTGTGATAGACAGGGCGTTGCAGGGGGCACAAATGTTGTGCCTCTGACTGGTAGGTTGTCGGTTCAAATCCCAGGGCTAGCCAAGTGGTTGAACCCTTCAGCAAGAACCTTAACATCAAGTTGTTCTGGCAACGCTCAGACTCTGCTTTCACGCAAAAAAAATAAAAAAACATATATAAAGCGTCAGTTCTATAAATGTAAAAATTCCCTCATTCGCTGTAGAACGAGCTCCCTGCCTTAGATTTTGCGTAAAATTTGTGCAGCTAGCAGGGATTGAGCCAGCATGGAAAAATCTTCCAGGGATATTTGGTCGGATGAGTTCCGTGTGACTCCGGAACTCCGGAAGGGAATATGTAGGTGAGAAAAGGCAGCCGTAACATGCAGTGCAAGTGGCTAATGGTCGCTCTCCCCTTATAGTTAGCCTCTGCCTGTCTGCAGCAGGTAGCAAGTTTGATGTGTGAGGAATAGGACACCAGTGCACCCGCTGGCAATTACCAAAGCTGACGGTGAGAGGGGCACAGGCGTTTGGGGGGGGGGGGCATGCTGGCTGAGAGCTGTCAGTCAAAACACCATTAGCAAAAACCCTGTGCTGATCTCCCGAGTTTTGATGGATGTTCAGATTTAACTAAGGCAAAAAAAACAGGAATTTGTTAGTATGCTTCATGTTTTCTCCCCGATCTACTGCTGGATGGAGTGACCATTTTTAGACGGAAGATGATACACAAATTTCCGCTACCCGGACGGCTCCGACGTGTGAAGGCCAGCGTTCTGTTTGTCAGCTTTTTCTTTATTTCTTTACTGTGGAAGTGCTCGTATTATGGGGACCGGGGACTTATTGCTCCGTGAGCAGTATGAATGAATGGCTCTGGGTTATGATGTCATAATGGAGGTGTGAGGTTGCCAGGTAATGGCCTGGCTGATTCATTCATCACCCAGGGAGTTAAACAAAGGCCTGTCACTCCCTCCATAGTCTAGTCCAGTCCCTGCACTGCAATCAAAACAGACTGGGGCCTCATTAGGCTTGGCCGCGGGCATCGGCACCGGGAGACTGTGACTAAGGCGGCCATCCGTCGACCACCAATCCAGAGCGGATAGTTACTGTGTCTGGTGAATGTATTTCATGTCCCAGGGAGTGCTCCGGAACACCCTTCCTATACAGTAAATTTATGACATTTTTCAGGGGGGGGTGAGTGAAGCTGTAATATTAATTACTTATTGAATAAACAAATAGCTATTGGCTGATGAACATTCTCAATATTCTGCTGTCGTGCTGGGTGGCATATTTCTCTGTGGGTTGGGACAGTGTGCCCATGATCACCGGG